ACATATGCAATTTTTATTTAAAAGTATTCATGATTCAACTGGTAGTTTTTAAAAATACTAGAATAGGGAAGGTCATTCTAACAAGATCACAAACCCAAAATCCATAAAACCAAACTACAATAAATTCAAATTTTTTTAACCCTGACCAGCAAAAAAGGCATAAACAAGGTCCTAAAACAAGTAACATGTAAGAGAGTCTCTACAAATCACTAAAAATTACTAATAGAAAAGGGAATACAAATGGCTCTAACCAAATTTTTTTAAAAAGGCTCTCAATCTCTCTGATAAGAAAATTGCAAATAAGTCTACAGTGGCATCTTTTTCACTGAAATATTGGTAAAGATTGCCACACACTGAGTTGGCAAGGATGTGGGAAAGTCCCCTTAGTACACGTCACTTATACACATTTCCTCTACAAAAGTAAATTTCACAATATTTATTAGATTTAAAATATACTAACCCTTTGACCCAACAACTTTGTTTCTAGGAATCTGTCTCAAATATACATTCATACATGTAGGAAATGTATGTACAAAAATATTTATCACAGATAATACTGTGATAAATACTAAAAATTACTAATGACAAAATACTTAGAAAAAAAATTTAAATACCCACAAATACGGTACTAGTTAAAGAAATTACAGAATATTGATTAAAAGGGATAGTATATATCCTATATCCATTAAAATTAATGAAGTAGCTATACAGTCACAGATGTGGAACTGACCTCCTACCAAGCAAACTGTAGGACACATTTGTGTTTTTACGTTTACATCCATCCATATATATATGTATGAGCACACACATACACACATATACAGACACACACACATTATTATATATACACATGCATTCTTATGCATAGACTGTCTCTGGAAGAGTAGACAATATAAAATATACTAGTAACAGTAGTTGGCTCTGGGTGGGGGAAATAGGTAGCTAAGAAATTTGGGGGCTGCAGAAATTTGGGGGCTCACACTGTAATTCCAACACTTTGAGGGTCCAAGGCAGGAGGATGACTTGAGCCCAGGAGTTCAAGACCAGCCTGGGCAACATAGGGAGACCTCATCTCTACAAGAACAAAAAATATATTAGTCAAGTGTCATGACACCTGCCTGTGGTCCCAGTGACTTGAGAGGCTGAGGTGAGAGAATCGCGTGAGCCCAGGAGGTGGTGGCTGCAGTGAGCTGTTACTGCGCCACCTCACTCCAGCCTGGGCCTCACAGCAAGAAATACTCTGTCTCAAAAAAAAAGAAATTGTATTTCAAAATTTTATAAATTAACTTTGGAAAATACTTTTAAAATTGAATTATTTTAAAAAATAGAGAACTGCTCACTATATATGTGTTAAATATATATACTAATTGTTACCCTAATCTATTAGGAAAATTTTTACTTCTTGCCTTCCTTTATTTGGGGAGCAAATTAACGCTTTAACAGAAAATCTAAACTATGAATGAAAATATACACATCAAGAAACACATAATTTCTAATTTGTGTTACAAAAAGCTTATCTGAAAGGCTATGATATGTACATATTAGAAACTGAGTATTTACTGAATGAATACTTCTCTATTGATTTAGTGGGTTTGCTTTCCTCAGACATTTTTTCACAATTTTTTTTTCAAAAAAGCCCACTGGAAATTCAACTTTTAATAAATTATGCTTTTCTTTCAAACAGTGATTCTTCATTGTCCCACAAAATTGATAAGCTACCTCATTAACATTAACACAATTCAAATAAACAATTTATTAAGTACTTATTAGGTGCAGGTGTTAAGGATGTTGCAAAACACAAACTCAAAAAAAGGGCAAATTTTGATTCTTCCCCTCAAGAAGTTTACAATCTTGAAAGACAAGACTTAAAAACATTAATCATCTGGATGTCTTGGAAGATTGAAAAAAAAAAAACATTAATAAAAGAACATTATAAATTTTACTGATAAATTGAATTAGCCAAATTAAAACTGCTACAGGAACACATGAAAGGATTTTTTAAAGTAATTACTGATTGGGGTTCTACTGAGATTTTTAAATGCTTCCAAAATTATAGTACCTTGCTCACATGTAAAATGGTATTATTTGATTATGATAGACTTCCTATGTGGATGTTCAGCTGAACTTTGAAGAAATAACTAATAATTAGGAGTAGTTTTTAATTACTCAGGCTCCTAAGGTGAAAGATAACAATAATGGTCTCAGTTTTGATCATTCAATTCTCTTATTAAAAATATCTCAAGCATGAATCTTTTACTACATGCATATTTACTTTAAAATTATATGCACCTAGGTATTGTCATCTATATATTAAATATTAATAAGTTTCGAATTCCTGCTTTTTCTCCACTTCGCATGAATACTTAATATAGCCATTGAAACTCATAGATCATGCAAAAATATTTTTATCTAACCATTGAAATATCTTCACACATCAAACGTACTTTTTAACATAATTGTTAAAAGGCAGCAGACATGCATTTAAATTTCAGTTTATTTTTCTCTCTACTCTTAAAATACATGTTAACTTCCAATGTAATGAACAGCACTAAAAAGAAACAAAGGATAGTGATGACCAGGTAAGTGAACCCCAAAACTTCATGGGAAATAGTAACCATTGAAGAATGTTAGTATTATTTTTCTTATGTATTTGTTATTTAATACTCAATATTGATAATGTATTATTTAGTAAACCATCAAAATCTTCAAAACGATTTTTGTCTCTCATTACTATAATTCCATTATAAAGTCTATTCATTTCCTCATTTCCTTGCCTACTCTTTTATTAAAAAGAAATTAAGAACATTTAAAACCAAATGTCCAAATATATAATGCTTTAACCTCCAAATAACTGTTTGTTAAAATAAATATAACAAGAATTGTGAAACCATGAAAGTCATTTTGAGGTACGACCCCTTCCTAAGACTAAGTTAGGTGGCAATGCAAATAAATATTTAAAATAAATCTGAATATATATTTTTCATCAGTGTAATTTTATAGATTGTATGAATATGTATTTAGAGAACATCTGTTTCTATCTAAACTATGTAAATATGAATAAATATTATATGTATTTGAATAGTATGTAGGTTTACATACAGATATAATACATACATACGTAGTTACCTAGAAAACCCTTTTACAACATCTCTAACATACTGTTCATTTTGAATAATCCTAATACTTAAAAATACACTTAAATTTCTATATTAAAACAATAAATAAACTTAGAACTACAGTGAACTAGCCACATAGTATTTCTACTGTGAAGAAAGAAAAACACATTTTATATTTAAATAGGTAAGTAAAAAAAAAAACTACACTTAACTGGAGCATCATTTTGGCCACACCGATTTTTATCAATGATAGTAAAAGGCAAAAGTTCATATATTTAAGTATCAAACTGCAAGTCATCAAAAGCTTGGCATTATTAGCATACAAAATAAAGTCAGGCACAGTAAGAAGCATGCTCAAAAAGCTTCTAAAAATAATGCTTTATTCTTCCAATAGTTGGAGTAAACTGCTTGTTTCTTAATTTCTTCATATCCCAAGGCTGTTAATAAATAGCATTCCCAAATAAGTATTTAACCCTAGAAATTAGCTTTCATGAAGAAATTCTTAATTTCAGTTATGTCAGAAACATATTTGCTGTTTTAGTCACTCAATATTTTGTGAGAAATAGTATTTTTAAGATTTATGAATATTTGTTTGTTACTATAAATTAAAGTTGTATTTTTCATTAAAATATGAAAATATATACCTATTGACAATGAAACCTGTTTCTTTATAAGTACATGAAAGACAACTAAATTCAACAACTTGCTTTTAAAATGTACCTGAGGTGAGTGTATTAGTTCTTTCACAGAGGAACTCTAAACTTTCAATTGTATATTTCTGTAGAGAATATAGGAAACGTATAATTGATAAAACGCAAAAGAATCATCTGAATAACTCACTTCAAAAAAAGAAAAAGGCCAAGTTGGAAAAACATAAAAAGGTTACACATCTTCTGAACAACCTCTTTCACAAACTGAGAAATAAAATAACCATAAAACATTCAAAAGCAAACCTTGTAGAAACAAATCTCTTTGCTAGACTAACCAGAAAAGGAGTCTCAGAGCTAAAGATAACCCTGTCTGGACAGTTCCCTGGTGCTGAAGTTCCAGAGCCGGTAAACGGATGCCTGGGTGCTGCTTTCACTCCTCCCACCCTCGGAAAAACCCGGGCTGTCAAGACTGTGAGCACGAATAGTAGAACTTCACAAGGTAGGGAGTATCCCAAACTGTAGTGATGGTAGGAACTGGAGTCTCTTCAGGATTAAACAGATTTACTAGTTGCAAACAGGAAGAGCAGGAGAGTGCAGGGTGTTAGCACTCGGCGAGGGGGAGGGGCTGGAAGATGGCGGCGGACGCACACCCACCCGAGACGCGACAGAGCTTAGGCCCCTCGCCCGCACCGCCGCCCGCTGCCCGCAGCCACAGTGGGCAGGCCTGCTGTGTCCCGCGTTGCTGGTAGAGCCGCCCCGCGGAGGCATGGGACCAGGGTAGCCTCCGCATCCCCTGCCAGCGCGCCTTCGCCTGGGTCCGGCCAGGGAGCACCTGTGCACGGCCATATTGGATTCTGTGCCCCAGTCACAGTCTCCGCGCGGCGGGAAAGGAGAGGGTACGCGCAGAGCCTGGGTTCAGCCCCAGTCCCGCTGGGGTCCCGGAGCCAAGATGACCAGCGGGGAAATCCGGAAAGGCGCCAGGGAAAATCACACCGCCCTAAGGCTAGCCGCCCTCACCTCAGCCGGCCTTGGCGCCCTCCCTCCCCGACACACACCCCCGCGCTCAGACACCCAGAAAACAGCCTGGGCGGCCGGCGCTGGCCGCAGCCCTCGTGGCCTGGGCGCCGCCGGCGGGAGGGAGGGCGGCGAACTGGGGCGCGCAGGCGGCCGCAGGGCAGCGGCCGAGGGGGCGGAGGGCAGGGAGAGAGGCGGGAATATGGAGACAGGTCCTTACTTGAGCACAGACTGCTCCTTCTCCTCTTCTTTCTTCTGCCTATCCATGACGGCCAGGATGATTTTCCTCTCCTCCTCCGTGAGGTGGCTGAGGTCAGGCATCTCGGGCTGCAGAGGCGGCTGAGAGGCCGCCGGGGTGGGAGCCGGGCGGCCCCGGGGCCCGACAGGAGCCGACATGTTTGGTGGAGCCGAACCACCCTAGGGAAGCGGGGAGGCAACTCCACTGGCAGCAGCGGCACCGGCGCGGCGGCTGGGGCAGCCTCCAGCGCTGGGACAAATACATACAAATCAATGGCCTTCAATCCAAGGCGACAGCCCCCCTCCCCCAAGAAAGAGCAGGGGGAGGGGAGGGCGAGCGTGTGGGGAGGGAGGGCTGAGGAGTGCGCTTCGGGAAATGTTTCTTCTTCCCGGGGGTGACGGGCTGTGAAGTGAGCGGTTCAAGGGAAAGGGGAGCTGGAGGCCGGGACGCGGAGTGCGCGGAGAGGCAGAGGAGGGTGGTGGAGTAAGGTGGCGGGGACAGCTAAGGGTGGGGTGACTGGAGGGAGCAGGCGGGAGGGCGACAGGCGGACCGGGGCGCGAGTGTGTCCAGCAGCGGTGGGGGCCGGGAGCGCGCGCGCCGCCTTGGAGGAGAAGGGGTGCCTGCGAACCAGCCCCCCGGGAACTCGCTTCGAGTGCCCGGAGGCAGAGTACTGCCGGCCCGAGAGGCACCCAGGCGGGAGCGGGGAGGGTCGTGAGGAAGCGGGGACGGTTTCCCCGAGAAGCAACTCAGCCGTCCCGCCGGCTGACGCGTCAAAGGGCTCCCGCGCGCCACAGAGGGAGAACTCCTCCAGGCACGCCCGGGAGAGGGCCGCGGGGCCGGAAACCGCCGCGGAGACCCCAACCCCACCCCCTACTCCACCCCGGGCTAGAGTGGAGAAGCGAAAGTGGAGAAGGTATGTCAGGGGCTAGCGGCGGAGAGTCCCGGGGCCAGGGCCCTTCGGCTGCCAACGCCCGGATCCAGGCGAGCTCCGACGTGTAGCAGGGTCTGGCGCCGGCCGCTCCTCATCACGCGCCCGGCCCAGGGTCGCTCAGCCGCCGCCGCCCCTTGGGTCCATGGAGTCGGCGCGGAGGGCCCGCGCGCCCTGCGCCGCCGCCGCCGCTCAGTGCAGCCTCCCGCACCTCCTCCGCCCCTCCGCCTCCCGGGCTCTTCCCGCTGGGGCCGCGTCACCTCCTCGCCGCCCAGGCCAGGGCACCGCGGGCGCCCCGCGGGCGGCAGCCTCCCTTCCCGAGCGCGATCTCCAGTCTGGGGCCGGGGCGGGTCGGGGAGGGAGGGGAGACTGAGCGTGAAGGGAGGGGGCGCCCGAGTTTTCGGGGACGGAAGTGTGGAGAATACGAGCGTGTGAGGGGGCGCCCGAGATGTCGGGGGCGGGGGGAAGTGTGTGAGCGGGGGTGGGGGCAGGGGTGCCAGGTGTGGCAGGTAGGGAGGTAGAGGCGGGGGAATGGGGGAGACTGGGGCGGGGAGCGTAAGTGTGGCAAAACGCCCGAGAGTCAGGGCTGGAGCTGAAGGTGGGTGACGGGGAGGGGGCGCCCGGGTGTCAGGGCCTGAAGAGAAAGAGTGCGCGTAGCGGGAGGGCCCCCGAAGTGTCGGGGCGGGATCCTGGAAGGAGGTAGGACGTGAGTAGGGAGGAAGGGTCCCTGGGTGTCAGGGATGGGGGCCAGGTAAGGGGCAGAGAGCTGGAGGCCCGCCAGGGGGCATAGCGGGGGAGGAAGGTTGGAGCGAGTGGGGAACGCAGGTGGTGTAGAGGGCGGGGACAGGGCGAGGGGCGCAGGGCGTGAGGAAGTTGTGGAAAACCGCGCTGGACGCTGAGAATGTGCGGAGGGATCCGGAGGGGAGGACGCGGGACAGCGCGGGGAGAGAGGAGGAGAGTTAGGGTTGGCTGGGAGGGTGCGAAGATGACGCGACCACTGGAGGCTGTGGGGGTGAAAGGAGTAAGAATCTAGAGACGGGCTGGGCCGGTGCTGGGGCCAACGGCTTCTGTCTGTCAGGCCCTTTTTGGCGTTCACTCTAGTCTAGAAAGAAGAGGCGAAGACGCGAAGAGATCGGGTTAGAGTCAGATTTTCGAAGCACGGAGATGGGTTCAGTAACACAGGACAAAGGAAGACGAGAAACCAGCTGCTGGAGAGCGGAGGTGGCCACCGCTGTCCTTTGCTCTGCGCGGAGCTGGGCGCCGCCCCGAGAGCCCTCCCGGAGGGGGCGGGGCGGGGCCGGGTGGCTCTCCTGCTCTTCCGGGCGCCCTGGGCAAGCAATGCGGGTGACTGAGCTGGGGTGTGTGTGCCAGTGTGTGTGTGTGTGTACACACGGGTGAGCGTGTGTGCGCACCCCACCCAGACTTCCACACGCGCCCTGCTTAGTACCAAGCCATATTGTGGTCTGATGAGTAACGTAAAGCCTTTGGGGTTTATATTATATTTACCTTCTTGGTGTGTAGTAAGCGCTCTCCCTCCTCTGTTCCCCAGGTACCATCTGACTAGCTCCCCACTTAGAGCTGGGGACAGGCAAAGCAGCCCTGGAAGTCTCCTGTGATTTCTAAGCTTAAATGTCTGTTTTTCTTTTCTCCCATGCCTTGTAATTGGGAAGAGGGAAAAGTTTACTTAAGAGCTGTTTTTTTAAATTATTACTCATTTGTTTCAAGCAACACTCTCATACTCCAGATAATTCCATTTTCATCTCTTTGGAGCTGAGCAAACCAGATGAAATTATATGAATCCCAGTTTATTTAATTTTGTTTTAGAATTCAACAATTTTTATGAATTTCTAATCCAACCTCATCATCCTATGGGAAACAGAAGACCACCAAGAACAGCCAGCTGGTAAGTGGCAGGGCTGGAACTAGAACCTAGATATTTTTAAGCCACTTTGAAACCATGCTGGTTTTCAACCCTAGCTGCACTGTAAAATTACCTGTCTCACTTTTTTTTTTTTTTTTCTTTTTCCAGTCATCTGAGTTGAAGATTCACTGGGTCACTTTTTAAAAATACCACCTGGGCCCATATGTCAAATGAATCAGACTCTGGTTAGGACCCTGGCGATGAATATAATTTGAAAGTTCCCCAAGTGATTAAGGTATAACAAATGTTGAGAACTACACTATATGCATTGCAAAATAGATAACGGAGAAGGAAAAAAAAAGTGGCAAACTAAGAAGAAAAAAAAAAGCGACAACTAAAACCAACACTTTAAAAGAGAACAGAATTTTTTACCTGAAATTGAAATTGACGTTTACTATCCATACTTTCCTCTCATACACAATGACATGTACCAGTAAATATATGTATCTTTGACTTTCACTTAGGAAACCCTAAGTACTGCTAAAATGCACTAACTGCTCCTTCAGAAGAGAGGAGAGCAGAACTAAAAATAATCAAAAGGAATGGGTGGAACAGTCTACCTTATTCAACTATTTCTGTACCAGATTTGAAAAAACGAACACCCCAACTCCAGCTAACTATCAACCCAAGCAGAACCAGAAGCCAGAATATACACACTGCTCTGAGGTTTAAACTTTTTGAGGTTAAAATAGCTTAGTTATTTTGAGTCTATAAAATGTGAACTTCAAAGTCGCAGTCCAGATTAGACGATTTTGGCTTCCTTTACAGTAGAGGGTCACCCTCTGGGCCCTGCACTGCTTTCTAGCAGTCATATGGTTAGCATGCTGGGTTCCTGAGGCTGTGTCTCCTTGCATCCCCACCCATGCTTCGCCTACCTGGAGACAGTGCCAGCTCATGAAATACAATGGGCATGAGCCAGTATCACTGGAACATACGACTTTTCACAGGAATGAAGCAGAAGTCAGTGAGGTGACTGTTACTGTGTTTCCTTTTTATGGTTTTTACTATAACTAGATGTGTTTTTCCTATTAAAGGGACTACTTAGGAGTGGAAGGAAGTCTTTCAAACAATCTTCCACTGTTATTCACACACCTGGACGAAGTAAAAATTTGTCACAGTATTTATATGTCGCATACATAGAATATATATCATATAGAATTTTTAAATTGACTTTAGCGTAAATGAACTCCTTTTCAAAGTACTTGCCCCAGTTTGACAGAAGATCTCTAGGCTTAGAACTAAAGAAAGTAAAATGTATTCACAAGATCTCTGTCTTTTGGTCTTTCTACAATATGGATCTTAGAGGTGTGTTTAGTTTGTTTTGGTACAGTGTTTTACTTAAAATCTTCATCTGACTGTGTCCTGTACAGCGTTATCTTTTACTTTGGCCTGTCCCTCAGTGTACGAACACATTTAAAGTTGAGTCAAAACTGCAATGTTCTTGTTGAACTTTAGAAGTAATAGCTGTCTTCATCACTGAATTTTCAAGGTCTTCACAGGCCATCAACTAATCCCAAAATGCAAGTCCTGACCAGGCACTGTGGTTTACACCAGTAATCCCAGCACTTTGGAAGGCCAAGGCAAGGGGATCCCTTGAGCCCAGGAGTTCAAGGCTACAGTGAGCTATGAATGCTCCACTGCACTTCAGCCTGAGTGATGAGTGATACCCTGTCTTAAAAAACAATACAGGCTGGCTGGGCACAGTGGCTCATGCCTGCAATTCTAGCACTTTGGGAGGACAAGGCAGGTGAATCACCTGAGGTCAGGATATCAAGACCAACCTGACCAACATGGTGAAATCCCATCTCTACTAAAATACAAAAATTAGCCAGGCATGGTGGCAAGTGCCTGTAATATCTGCTACTTGGGAGGTTGAGGCAGGAGTATCACTGGAACCCCAGAGGCAGAGGTTGCAGTGAGCCAAGATCATGCCACTGCACTCCAGGCTGGGCAACAGAGCGAGACTCCCTCTCAAAAACATAAAGAAAGATAGATTAAAAAACAAACAGGCTGGGCATGGTGGCTCACACCTGGAATCCCGGCACTTTGGGAAGCCGAGGTGGGTGGATCACCTGAGGTCAGGAGTTCGAGACCAGCCTGGCCAGCATGGTGAAAACACATCTGTACTAAAAATACAAAAAAGTAGCCAGGCCTGGTGGCAGACGCCTGTAATCCCCGCCAGTTTGGAAGCTGAGGCAGGAGAATCACTTCAGCCTGGGAGCCGGAGGTTACAGTATGCTGAGATTGGGCCACTGCACTCCAGTCTGGGTGACAGAGTTCAAAAAATAAAAAGCAAACAACAAAAAAACCGCAAGTCCTTTCTGCAGTTCCTATAGGCTCTTGAAATCTATAATTCTGTGGACTTTCATTTTTACATATGAGTAAGGGCTACTTGTAAGTAAATAGGTATTAGGAGGTATATCTAAAGTCACAAACTAAAATAGTTACCTCACTAGAATTTACTGAGGACCTAGTACTCTGCTACAAAAGCTGGGTGTTTCACAATGCTCAGAATCATTGCAGCACCCCTTACTGCATGTAAATATGCCTAGATGGTGGGCATTTCTATAGATTCTCATAACAGAGTTCCCTGCTTCTATGCTTGCAGCTCTATAGTCTCTTCTCAACACTGCCAAACCGGAAGCCTCCTAAAACATTAGATCAAAACACTCTGCTGGTCAAAATCCCAAGGTGGCTCCCCACTTCATTCACAAGAGTTCTTTAAATGGCTTACAAGTCCCACGTGATCACTGACTTCATCTCCTAGTACTTTCTTTTAGGCTTTCCTTGAGCTGTTCCCTGTGCCTAGAATACCCTTCACTAAGATACTCACTTGGCTAAATCCCTCTTCCTCAAATTTTTGCTCAATTGTCAAATACTCCTACCTGCCCCACACCCTCCCTGGTCACTATGATGATCTTTACCTTACCCTACTTTTTCTTTTTGCCACAGCACTTACCACTCTCTCTCTGACAACTGTATTTTTATTCCAAGTTAAATATATACCAGTTTATTATATTTATCATCTACTTCCTTGTACTTCAATATAAGCACAAGGACAGAGTATGAATTGTATTAATGTATCCCAAACACTTAGAACAATACATGGCACATAGTAGGTGTTCCAACAAATATTTGTTCAATGAATTTCTGGAAAGAGGATTTGACATTATATTTGTCTAAGTTGGGCAGCAAAAGGGAAAAAGCATTCTCAAAAAAGGGGGAAAGCAGTGCAAATAAGTAACATCTAAAGTATTTGCCAAGCTGTACAGATTCCTTTAGGATTAAGTTGCTGTCTACCTCTCTAGCTTTGCCTCCAACTCAGCCTACAAACACATCCTCCTCTTCAGCCATGACAGTTTACTTGCACTTTACCGAATATGTGAATTTTCTCATCTCTGT